AAGATAAAAGGACTCTCTGTACTTGTCATGTCAGAATGTCAGCAGAGTATGTCCCTGGAGACACTTAGAAAATAGGAAGAAATAAAACTTCATTTGAGAAGGAAAGAAAAAAACAAGAGACAGAAGATGCTGGTAAGAGTGGTAAGAGTATCTCACAGGTGGTGGATTACTGTGATTAAAAGTTTCATTTACTTCACAATATTTTTTGTTATGTACCACTCTCACAACTTTGTTTGAGAAGCAAAATTTTTCAAATACCTTTATTTTCCCCAAAGACTTCCTGGAATAATTAGAGGCTTTTTATTGAAAAACAAAATGGATTAAATTTTTTTTCACTGTAATATTTAAGTCTTTTAGAACTCTACTGGCAGAAACAAAATTAATGTTTCATTAAAATTCTGCTCCCAAAAGAACATGAACAGATTCCCTATTGACAAAAATAAGCATATGTTCTCATTTTAATGAAAGCATACTAATTTCTAACAAATAACAAAGCCTACCTGAAAAACAGCCTGTTTTAAAATTCCATCTACCATTATTTTCTATCATGGTCCATAAATATTTTATGAACTGTCAAATTGATTTATGTATCATAATTGAAGGGGAAAAACATAATCCACCAAAACCAAGTAAGTTAATGAGAGAAGAATTGAAAACAATGATATTAAAAAGAGAGTTTATTCAAGTTTATCAAAATGCAATGGAATAAATGTATCTAGAGATGTTAGGAAGTGCAAACTGACAAGGTATGAGAAGATGTACATTACATAAGTTGTAGGAGGTTTAGGTACTACTTAATGCAAAAAGAAATATTTTTCTACAATAACACCTTAAACCCAAAGATGGAGCTCTTGAACTGTTTATTTTAAAAGAACTAGAAAAAGTGACAGCAATACAGTTACCAAAGGAAGATGCTGTAGAACTTTTAGATTTACTTTCTTAGTATTTTCAATGGCATTGCATGCTACATTGTAAGAAAGTCAGTTTAAATGCTCTTTCATGCGCATACACATTTCACTTGCATAGAGACATTTCACTCTGCAAATCTTCTGGTCCACAGATGAATTCCAACTCTCAAACACTCCTTTCCTCACATTTGAGACAGTCTTTCAAATTTTTTTCAAAACTTGTTTTAGATTTCTTACTAGAATTGCTGCAGCAATGTCTAATACAAATGATTTTCACATTCCTTCTCTCTGTTTAAAGAGTGTATGTGATCAGGTTAAAGACACCCATTCCATACGGGGAAGAAAAATAAATTAACAAGTAAAGTAAGTAAGTCCCACAGAAAGAGCAACAGAAAATGCAGTACAAGGGAACTACTTTAACCACATTTTAAAGTCATTAAATATATTATTCCATCTCTTCTGTCTGAACACATCCTTAACTAGCAGCAGGAAAAAATGCTTTATTTCAGTACTTTCTGGGAAAAAATAAATTAATTTCTGAATTAACTCCCTAGTTAAGTTTTTTAATCAGCTATATACACTAGAAATACTTTGGGTCTGATTCCTCATTGGCTTGTACTTTTTACAGGCATCATACAAAGTATGAACAAGTTCCTTTTGCAGAAGAACAAAAATGAAGAAAAACAGTTTACATCAGTATCAGACACATAGAAATTTGGGGCAATTCACCCCCAGGTCCACAGCAGTTCAAACCTCCCTCCCAGTTTTATATGACCGTGCCCTCAAAAGGTGCATTTGCATAAAAAATATCTGTTTTAGGATTCCTTGCTCAACTTTTAAATCAGACTGAGTTAATTCAACAGCTTTGCTACTAATTTATGACACAGAAACAGGCCAAAAGAGCCTGCAGTGAGTTAAATTCAAGTGTAAAATGCTAACATCCTGTTCAATGCATTTAAAATCTACTTGGTGGGCAGCAGTACAGATACTTCTTAAGCGCAGAGAAATTGAGCTCTTGTGTTTCTAAGGGGTTCTGCCTGTTGGGAGAAGAATCTCAGTTCAAGATGAGAAAGAATAGGTGAATTGTTCCCAAACAGGAAAACAAACTTTCCTGCTCCACCCTGGGGAGGAAGTTACAACAGCCTCAGGTAAAGAGAGAGGTCTCTTCCCACTTCTTGTCCAAACGAGGAACCAGGATATATTAGACTAAATTAACATTTTTCCTATGCCTATTGAGTTGAAAGGAAATGGCATTCACCTCCTCAAAGTTTCATATGAAGTACTTCCTACTATTTAATAAAAATTTTTTCTGAAACTTTTAGCCTTAAAAATAGCATTAGAGTTGCAAAATCAAGTATTGTCACAATAATTTATCAGAAAATTGAATTTAGTCTGAATGTTGCATTGACTTGAAAAAGTTTAGAATAAGACTTAAATAAATAAACAGTTTATTAATTAAGGGATGTATTATTATAATGTTCAATTGGCATACTTTCATTTATTCAGAAATGAAAGTTCTATAAAGTGATAGGGAAAGATTTAAGTCATGGCAACTGCTAAAAGTTTTTTCAAAATAATTATATTTTGAGATAGTTTTTGTAAAGAGATTTCTGTACCAAAAATTTTATAAATAGCAATTCTACTTACTTAAATTATTTTTCTCAATCATGCTAATAATCAAGTTGTTTTCTAGATCCAAGTGTTTTAATGACAGCTGGCTATTCATGGTAAGTGCTGTGGAGTACACTTACCATTTCTATTACTTGTTGTTTTAAAGTCATACAGGAGAAATAATTTCGGTTTCTAATCTGTCTCTTTTAAGTGTAACCCTTTAGACAAAAGCCTGAAATATATAAACTATGTTTTGCAAGTGTATCTTTAGATTTTCATTCTGACAACTACACTCGTGTTCCCTATGTTCAAAAAGATTTTTTTTATCAAATAGCATGCCAAAGTTAAAAATGCAGTATCTTTTCAGTAAGACAGAAACTTCCTTCATATGGCTCAGAAAACTTGAATGTAATTATGACACTTCAAGAAACGTGCTCCACATTGTTCTCAAAAAGTTTAATTAATGAATTAGGGTAAAATATAGTGCCAAAACTTAAAATACAGTGCCAAAACTGTCAACGTTAGTAAGTAAAAAAAAAAAAAAAAAAAAAAGAAAAGAAAAAAAAACAAAACAAAAACAAGAAAACAAAACAAAATAGAAGTGTTATGTTCTTTACATCACTCTGAAACTCAGATTGTACTAACACTCCAGTGCAATAGAATTGAAGTATCTTTTTTGGAGCTGACAATGTCTATTATGCCTACTCGGACCAAAGACAGAAGAAATACTCTCATGTTTTAGTGACTATATACTAAAATATTGCATATGGGTTTCCCTTTTTTGTCAGAGAGTAGAACTTTGAATTTCATCTTTGATCACAACCAGACCATAGACCATACTAGTTTAATACTACCAGAAAGCTTAAGCCATGTACTATGTTCAAATTTCAAAACCTCACTAGGAATCAGTGTTACCCTCACCCTGGCATGCAACTTCTTTGGCACATGGGGAGGTGAAACACCCCTCCCTTCAGCACTCTCTGCTCATTTTTGTGGGGGCAAAAAGATATCAAATTAGATAATCCTTTAGCTTTCCTGCATCCATCTGCAAAATCATACATGGAAAGGAAGTTCAATCCCACTGGGTGAGCGTAGATGGGTAAAGCTCTGGCAGGTGTAAAACAAAACCCACAGGGGAAAAAGCTCCCGTGCTAGGGAACAGGGCGTCCTAGACAGCAACACAAAACTACCAGGATGAGGATGAGGATGAGGATGAGGATGAGGATGAGGATGAGGATGAGGATGAGGATGAGGATGAGGATGAGGATGGGCCGGGAGATGGCCCCGCTCCCCTCCAGGCACCTCAGCGCACACGGTCCTTCCCTGCCCGGGAGCGGCCGCGGGGCTTTCCCGGCCGCAGCGCCCAGCTCGGCTCCCGCACCTCTGCCGAAAGCAGGGAAGGCAGGGGACGGGAGCTGAGGCTTTCACATCCTCAAATCCGGGGGAAACATCTGCTGCCGCTGCTGCCGCCGCGGTGCCATCTGAAATCGTCCCGCCGCTGGGTTTGGTGAATTGATCCCGAGCCATCCCCTCTCCGGGGGCAGCTCCTTTGAAGCAGCCGGGCTTGCAGCACGGGGAGCCGGCCCTGTGCTCACTGCAGCTCTTCCTCAAAAAAATAGAGACCAAGGAAGTTCTGGCTGCAGAGCCAAAGAACTAAAGTGCTGAACCAGACACTGTCGTGGGCGTCCATAGCTCTGCTGCTCCGTCTCTGTTGCACTGCAACAAAAAGATAATTCAAGTGTCCGGAATCCGAGGGCATTTGCATGCTGCTGTGGCATTGGAATATTTAGAATCTGTGCTGCAGTAGAGAAGGGATTTGCTGAAAGATGGGGGGAAGGAGAAGAGGGGTGAAACACGAGGAATTTGCTGGGGAGCAAATAAAGTCTGACAGAAAAATACCATTTTATTGGAAGATTTGGTATATTGTTAGTTTTCCAGAGAATGAAAGCAGTTGTTTATGTCAAAGAATCAAGGATGATCCACAGGAATCCTGAAGCAAAATCAAAGGCAGACATGGCAGAGAGGACTAGCATGGACACTAAACCAATCCATCCACGTGCTCTTTAGGCATGGATCACTTCAGAATGTTGACTGTAGAAATAATTCAGCCTCCCTTGGCAAATTCACTTACCAGGATAAACAATAAAATCCAAGACAGTTTAAACTGCATTTCATTCTACAAGATGAATGCAATAAGAGTTATCATGCTGATGTCCTCCATCCTGTGGCTTACCTGGGTCCCATCCCTTGACCTCTCCTGTCATCTCTTTCTAAAGATTTCCAGGAGGAGGGAAGAAGGTAGGAAGGAAAAAGTCAATCTGCACCACTGAATGTAATTTCTGGTGTGAAACTGATTATATTTGAGATGGAAATTACTGAGAGTCAGTAAATATAGACACCAGTATGGCATTCTAAAGGCTTGTTACTGGTAGAAGTCAAATTTTGGAAGTTTTTTTTTACTCAGTTAAATGTAGAGTTACGATGGAGAGTGGACACAAGTTGTATCAGACAGAGTTCTGTGTTTTGAGTGTGTTGGCTTAATCTTAAGTGCCCACACTGTATATAAAGCATTCTCAGCTATCACTACAACTTGTTATGTGTGTCCCCTTGAAGGACTACATTACAGTGGTAGGCATGAACTAAGTTTTACACCAGGACAAATTTCATTAAGATGTGTTTTCCATACTACCAAGCAACAGAAAAAATCTGAGCATGCAATGGCCCGTTCTTTCTGTACCATACTTGATAAATCTCTTTTCAAGAAAGAAATCAGTACTTAAACATTGCCATGTTCCTCTATACACTGTTTTTTCTGGAGAATGACTTATACTTCTACTGTGATTTATTGGCTGGGGCTTCAGAATCTTGGAGAAACGGGAATAAGTTGCATCTTTTAAGTTTACTGCCTCACAAGGACAGTAGAAGAGGATGACTGTTTTCTGATGGACCTGAAAGTCAGGCAAGTGCCTTTGAAAACTCTTCAACTGCCTTGTCAGTGGAACCAGTTTACAGGATGATCACCAATGGTGTCCAAGTCTGTTGAAGAAGATGTATATGCCTGTCATGAGGGGTCTTGAGCGCAATCATGGTTTTGCCAGCTTTGAAGAGAAAACAGCAATTATTTCCCTAAATTCTATCTATTCACCCCTCCAGTAGAGGTAAATTACCCTTTATTTCCACACCAGGGTGTTGTGCCTTTAATGGATCCCTGCTCAGGTTTTGTGAATCCAGCAGCAGGTGCTGAACAGCAGTCCAGTGTTGGAAGAGCTATTGAATCCCTGGCAGACTACAGTGATAGGAAACCTCACCAGCATCCCCATCACAGGGGAGAGAGCCCAGCCTGACCACGGGAGACCTCCTGGAGGAAACCAGGCAGGACAGAAGGCGGAAGTCCAGGGCATGAGTCAGATGTGAAGCAAACTATTTTTTTTTCTTAATCACTAAAGAAACTGGTGGTGCTTAACAAATAAATAGAATGAGTTTCTGAACTCCATTCCCCAGGGTCCTAAAGGAACAATCTTATAAAATACATTTGTTCTGGATATTTGAATTGAATATAACAACTGCAGTAGAGTGTTTGTGTGATTCATTGTCCTGTTGTAGCAAAGAGGTACGAGTCAGCAATTTTTAATGAGAATTCTAATGCCAAAAAGACCCAAAACAACTTTGAAGGTAATTAATGTTTCTTAAGAAATCTATTTAAGTAAAATGTGAAGTTAATTACCATCGTTCTAATGAACACCTACTTTAATGCAAACCTACTTTAATGCAAAACTTCAAAGTCAGGAAATCCCCTGGATATGTCTGCGTATTTTAGTATTTCTGGACAAGTTGCAGTGCAGCACATTTAGGGACTTGTTCCAGTGTCTGGTTATCAGAGAGCAGAACTTCTTGAAGATTGCCATCACATATTGGTCAAAGTACCACATTACCCTCTGATTTTATATCAGTGTCTTACATATTGAGTCTGATAATTTTGTTGTGATTGTAGCATCAAAATGGAAATTCACTCCTTATAACATAAGTGAAATTGGGCTGATGGTTTCAGAATTTCCTGGTAAAAATTGTGGAAAGCTGAAATATCTGCCCAGGGCTTACAAGGATAGACATAATTAATAATAAGTAATATGTTTGAAGTCAATTTCAGTAACTTTCATAGAGAAATGCTCATTACAGCTAGAATAAAATTTTATGGTATCCTACTCTATATGCTCATAGATGAGGGGACGCATTTCTTAGGACATGATAGAGAAATGTAAATAAATTCTTACTTTCATTTTTCTATGAAGTAGTGCAGTTACTGTGCAGTTAAACAGTGCAGTCACTGCACAGTTAGCAATACTTTATACATGTTATTGTCACCAAAAAGTCTCTAAGTGCAATAAATTCTGGCAGTGGTTTTGGTTCCTGGTTTCTGTCTTCAAACTTTGCATTTTAAATCACTTTATGCTTACTGCAGCCATGTAAAAGAACTGTAAGGAGCCCAAGAAACCACAAGGAATAAAAAATAAACTACATAATTTTCCTTCTTTTTTTTTCTTGCCCATACCATGTAATTTTCACTCTTATTTCTCATTTACTCTTTTCATCATTTCCATATGAAAATTAAATCTCAGACATGAGTCAGAAATGTTCAGCTGTTTTTTTCTGCAAGCCTCTGGAAAAGTGAAGGGGAAAGAAGATTTGAGATAAGCAATTTTATCTGCTCATTAATTTTTCCAATGCAAAGAAAAGCATGCTGAGAGAGACATACTCTGGCACATAGAGACACACCTGAAATGAACACAGACAAAATCTGAAACTGAATGCCATCAGGTCAGTAATCTGGGTTACAGTCAACAAAGTGCTCTGAAATGGACAGTAGTTGCAGGAAGCAGATAGAAACTATCTGATGTTATTTTGTTCAGGAAAGTTCACTATTAGACTAAAATGCTGACCCTGTTGAAGTTGTCAGGAAAAGTCAAACAACTTGGTGACAAACCTTGAAACAGATACAGTGCAGCACAAATTTCTTAAGGAAGTGGTGGAAGTGTTCTTCTAAGTCTAGTATGCATTTACAAATTTTCCTGTGATGCTGAGGTATTAACTACAAACGCGTAAATATTGATAAATAAAGTTGACAAGTCTTTAGATACTATTTTAAATGAGACTGCATAGGCAAATTCCAGATTTTAGCTGTATGATTCAGAGCCCAGCTACCAGCCCCCAGGCATGTGATGTAAGTTACTAACCTCTCTAGATACCAGTCCCAAGACATTCCACAGCTAAGTCATTTGGGGAAGTTGTGCTGAAAGAGAGATCAGTCAGGCATTTTGCAAGCAAATTCTACAGTCACTTTCTCCACTGTGTCTGGGATGAATGTACAAAAAAGAGACAGAAGCAGCCTTTGAGACAGATGAGCTGTGATATATAAAACATCTGCAGCAGACAGGAGCTTCTCTATTGTGAGAAGATGTAGCTCTGTGGCTTTGGCAGTCCACAACTTTGAACTTCTCTAGCAGTCTTTTGCATCTGCTGATCAAAGCAAACTCCGTGAAGCTCTGTAATAGCAAATCAAATGTGAGAAGCTGATGATGAAGGTCATTCCAAGACTGAAGAATCAGAGAAAGGACGACAGCTGAGGAGCTATTCTCCATGTATTCTCAGTCCTTACAGGGATAGTGCTCTGTGCTAGAGGACCAGGTCTTGAGAGTGTTTGCCTATTGAGTCTCCTTCTCTCACTCATATGACAACAGAGTTGTCTACTCTTTTCTCTGTAGTTTCAAGTTTTCTTTGCAGTGATTAGGAGGAGGATGACCTCAGAATTTGACCATAAAATTCTGGTACTGGGGACTGGATGATGCAGTCTCCCTGCCCAGTGTGTAAATATTATTCTATTTGTAGGCGTTAACACAGAGGTTATGGGGATTGCAGAATGAACCAGGTTATCTGACAAGTCTGATAAAGAGCAGAGATGATTTCTTGCCCCTGCTAGAAGCTAACACATCTGAAGACACAGTTTTCTCCAAAGCTGGGAAATGGGAAATAGGAAATACTATAGAGTTTTCTTATAGACTTGGTAGCAACCATTTTTTAAAGAAATAAGTAGTTTACTCATGCTGCTACTAGATTTTTTGATTTCTCCAAAAGCCCATGCAGCGGACCATTTCATCCAAGACTGTGGATAGTTAGTGTTAGTAAAGTCATCATACTTCCCCCCAAATGTTTTCCTATCGCACAATGATTTCTTGATTAGGGTTTCATGACCAGGAGATTGTGTGTTTTAGTTAATAGTCATGGATTCACAGATTTGTCTTCATGAATATGTACATTTGTTTTTTGAGCACATCACTTACATTCCAACTGCCTACGTACAGCTAATTTGTGACTATGTTAGGTAAAAATGTCCTAGGCCCAGATGAGTTATCTGAAGGTCTCTCTACCAGTGATCTCTATCCACCTGGAAAACTGATCATTTATCCCTTCCTTCTATCTGTCATCTTCTAACCAATTATTTATCCATGTGAAGATCTTATCTTTCGTCTGCTGTTTCTTCAAGAGGCTCAGTTGAAGAATTTCATGCAGAATTTACTGTTGTGGTCACATTATGTTAATTTCCCTGTGGCCTTTGTATAGGAAGAGCTCCTTTCCCAGTGGTTCCTCTGCTGAAACAATAAGCATTTTCTTCAGAGTAATCATTACTCTGGAGAAATAATCATCCAGGAGTAATGCAGTATTAAGCAGCACATTGAATGAGAGGTATCCCAAGGTAGGATTCCAGCCTCTGCTACATTTCAAATATTGGTATAAAACTACCTTACGCAGTACTTAGGTACTTAGCAAGTTAAAACTTTTGACTGCCTTTAGAAATAGAAAGAAGAAAGTTTAATCAGAGGCAACAAAACATAAAGTAAAGTAAAAAGAAATGTGCCACTTGAAAAACAACAAATGAAATATTTACAGACATTTAGACCTTGACAAATTAGATGTCTGGACAACCAGGAGCCAAATTAAGTTCAACAAAGGGAAATTATGGAATCTGCTCTCTGGTTGTACAAATAGACTGGGGAATGAGATGCTGTAAAGCAGTGCCGTGGAAAGGCACCTGGGGGTCCTGGTCCCTGGCAAGCTGACCATGAGCCAGCAGTGCCCTGGTAGCCAGGAGAGCCAACCCTGTCCCGGGGGCATCAGGCACAGCATCACCAGCCAGGCAAGGGAGGGGATTGTCCTGCTCTGCTCTGAGCTGGGGCAGCCTCACCTCCAGTGCTGGGGACAGCTTTGGGTGCCACAACATAAAAAAGACATTAAACTATTAGGGAGTGTCCAAAAGAGGGCAGAAAAGATGGTGAAGGGTCTGGAGGGGAAGCTGTATGAGGAGCAGCTGAGGTCACTTGGTCTGTTCAGCCTGGAGGAGACTGAGGGGAGCCCTCATTGCAGTCACAGCTTCCTCATGAGGGGAAGAGGAGGGGCAGGCACTGATCTCTGCTCTGTGCTGACCAGGGACAGGACCTGAGGGAATGGCCTTAATCTGTGTCAGGGAGGTTTAGGTTGGATATTAAAAGAAGGTTTTTCACCCAGAGGGTGTCTGGGCACTGGAACAGCTCCCCAGGGCAGTGGTCACAGCACCAAGCCTGACAGAGTTCAAGAAGCTTTTGGACAATGCTCACAGGCACATGGTGTGACTCTTGGGTATGGTCCTGTACAGGGCCAGGAATTGGACTCAATGATCCTTGAGGGTCCCTTCTAACTCAGGCTATTCTGTGATTCTGTAAAAAATGGCCTCCAGCATTCTCAAAAATATCTGTGCTATTAAATACCCATAAAACAATGAAATGTGTAATAGCATACGGCCTAATAAGCTAATAGGTCACCAGGAAATAACATTAAAAACTTGAAATAATCTCTTTAAGGCTGAGTGCCATTGAATAAAACAACTGTGGTTTCACTAATCGTTAGATTATCATGCCTACAGTTATATATTTCAATTTGCATTTTTTTTTCACTTGCCCAATGGCAGAATGATTCTTTGTTAATTCAACAACTTAGGGTTTTTTCTGTTGCTTGTTTTGCCATGTATGTCCTCTCCAATATAAACTGGTGGGATTTCTGCTCAGTTACAAGAAGATTTCAGGGAGTAATTTGTAGCTTTTTCTCTTAAAAGATTAAGAGACAAGAACTAATGGTAATAGGTTGCATTTATCTTCTGTATATAAAGAGAAATAGAATAATTAACCAAAGAATCAAGTTTAAGAATATGTAAGAGTTATTTGAAAATCTTTTATTTGGAATTAACTGTTGCTGTGCCTACTAAAGCAAATACTCCCAAGTATTAAAATATAGGGGGTCAAAAACAATGCACAGTGTCTACAAGTCAAATACTAACAGTGAGCTACCATTTATTTTTAAAACAGTTTTTGCTTTTGTTTTATTTCCTTTTCTAATCTTTTTACTACCAAGCACCTTTAGGTAGCAGAAGATATAAGACTGCAAAAAATTTTTCTAGCAATTAGAATTTCTGGTATTTAATGGCATTTAGCATAGGATTCATCTAATGAATTTTAGTTATCTAGAAGCTTGTATCCAGTCTGTGCCTTTCATCTCCACTTCCCCTGTAGATAGTGAAGATAAACTGTAGTTTCTCAAAGGGCATGCTGTACATCTGTCTTCAGTGCCTGTCAGGGGCCGGGTGTCCAGTCCCTACTTATGTCTCCTCTCACTTAACTGATTATTCAAATTCAGACAAAATAAATCCCTTCACCACTGTTAGCTTATTGGAGGAGAAGCTACCTCTTTCACTTAGTGAGTGAGACCATTTTAAAGAAGATAATCCTGTGAAACTGTGCAGTAACTACTTGTTCCCCAGCAGGCAGCGTATAACCCCAGGCTTTTAATTTCCCGTTTAAAAAGAAGTCTATACTTCTGCTACTTTCTACATCTACATCACATAGTCCTTATTATCTAGCTACACATGTCATTCATTAATAATTGTATGGGAAATTTTTCTCTACTTTTTAAAAAAAGTTGTTGATCTGGAGCTTACAAAGGAGTTCCTTGAGATAATATGTTTTCTTCCAAAATACAGCCTCCAAAATCAACAGTGGAGATGTTGGCTGATCCTGTTTTCCAGTGTCTCACAAAAAGACAATACAATCCCAAACACAAAATAAGCCAATTCAATGGACAATTTCTTCCAAACTGTTTTTAGGTTTGCTGATGAAAGGATGCCTAAATTTTGTGTAGGTCATACACATAAACCCACAAAAATATTTTCAAGTAAAAACAGTCTGAAGTGCACATTAAAGTTCACCACCACATGCCAGTAATTGCCTCATATTATTTCATGTTTTATATTTTTTCCCTGGCCCTCCCTGTAAATTAATCCAAAAGATATGCATGCAGAATGTCAAAACAGAATACAAGCATATTGATGAAAAATTGGTTGATAGGAATGATGCTCTACCTTAATTGCTGCCTGAAAAAAACAACTATTAAATCAGATAAATTAGCTAATGTTGCATACAAGAAGCATGTAATTATGATTTTAGGTTGTTAGAGGCTTCTGGGACAGATTTCAAGCAAGATCTTTCACCTCTTTTCAGAGATCTGGTGATTTGTAAATTTCAGGTTTTGTGAATATTCAAGTTGTCCGAACAGCCCCTTTACGAAGTCTGTGGACACTTAATTATCTCTGAAGACTAAATTCAGCAGCATTCTGTAACTAGAGAAAATATTCAGTTAATACCTATATCAAAAACATGTTCTGCATGCTTCTCGCGTGAGAGAGTTAAATATAAAAAGCAGAAGAAACCTGTAAAGGGAATGATTGTCATGATTTCATACATCTGATGTTTGCAGTAAGACATGACATTTATGAAAACATCCTGGTAATCATACCCACGCACAAACTCACGGGGTTTTTTGCTGTCTGTCCAAAACGATCACTTCTGTATTGTTGTCTTTTACTTACTCTGTATTTCACCTATTCAAATCTATCTCAGAGTGAAGCATTTTAGATGAATCCAGTAAACGGCCACGGAAGTCTTAAAAGGGATCAAATAATAGCTAAGTTGAGACAAAGAAAGAAAAGTTGGTCAAAGTATGATAGAAAAATAAGAACATGTCTCCTTTCCAGACTGTGAGCCAGAAGCTTTGCTCAGGCAAACTCAATGGACAGGTGAATTACTGCACAGAGTCAGGCATACAGTGGGAGAGACAGGTACCTCAGCAGGGTGGAAGAAAAGCATGATAGATAGATAGATAGATAGATAGATAGATAGATAGATAGATAGATAGATAGATAGATAATGCTATCGTGGTTTCTTGAATGATGCTCTTTCAAAGGAATATAGTTGTGGACAGTGAGAGTTGCTTGCAGAGACAGACTGAGAAAGAAATTCAGATCTGATGTTAAATTTTCCTGTGTTCTCAAGAACTCAATGAAATAAGTTTCTAGAAGGGAAGTAGTTAATTTTTAGAAAAAACTTGCTTATATTGTGCTATGAAATTTACTGAAGTCCTGGTAGCAGAATAAGCTAAAATATAAGATTCTACCTGCTGAGCTGGTTCATTTAGCATATATGCCAAAGTAATCATTTGCCACGGTCTTTTACCAAATGCAAATGAGCACTGCATTATTCCAAGTGCAAAACTTTGACTTGTCACCACCTGTCTTTTGGGACCTCATAAATATTCTATCAGAATGTTCTGTCTGGTGAAAAAAAAGTGATTGATCCATTTTGTCATTAGAAGGGTAAGCCAAAGATTTCAAACCTGTCATATCCCTTTGTATATGGAAGTACAGTGTCCCTGGATTGTTACAAAAGTTGTTTCAACTTTTGTCATTTTTGATAAAGCCTAAGCAGTCCGTCTCTCATTTTCTGAAACAAGAATTGTAGCTGAACTATATTATTTAATCTTAAGGCATTTTCTGGTGCCAAAGGAGAGTGTATACTGCATCTCCTTTGCTTGTGGGTATCTCCAACTTTTTAACCTATAAACTAGAAATCAGAATCTGTTATGTCCACTTGTAAGAGTATCCCAGTCTCATCATAAGAATGACACATTTCTGTCTTGTTTCCATTTTCTCCCAAGCCTCTCTGCACATATGAATTAGAGTTGTCATTTGTTATGTGTTGCAAATTCAGCAGATGATTGTTTTCATCTTGGGATATGCCAAGCACACAGGGCCATTTATCTCTATGTTTTTTTATTGTGGACCATTTTAATAAATAATTAGAATTTTGGAGCATGCAGCGTATGGTTCAGCTGCCTCCACCAGCTGTCTTATGAATAATGTACATATCTTTGATTTACTTTCTGTCTGCTGTGTTTGTGCAGTAAATTTTGAATACAGTGCTGGTCCCACTTAACCATGTGCAAACTTCAAAGCATTACTACACAAGCACTGCACACTATGTTTCCCGTCTTAGCATGATTTTGATACTGTCTCTTGAGCTCTTGTTATTTGGGAAAAGGGAAAAAACTGTTGAAAATCTGATCTTGGGTGAAAAGAATGGAAACGTTTATTTTCAAACATACCATACTTTCATATTTCAAATGTTTCCTGTTCTTTAGTATTAATGTTTCATGTTTGATGAGTAGTATGATTTGAATATTGCCACCTCAAAAGTGTGTGATTGTTAACTTTAGTCACTAGATGGCCTTTGAGTGTGCAAAATCTCTCTGAATACTATTGGAAAACTATACTTTTAGCTAGATCATTAACTTTGAAAATTTTCACTTTAAGCCGTTCCTAAACCTGTTTTTAGTAGCTTGAGCTGATATTAATGCTTATTTGCAAACTTTTGAGAAAAGAAAATGGTAAAAGTAACAGCTTAAGGATAAGAATTAAAATAATAAAACAAAAGAGGAACTAGACTGTTCTTTTTACTTGAATAGAATTTCTCTTTGCATCAGCCTTTCCTGTGTGTCCTTGGAATGGTGTTCCTTAGTCCATATTTGTGAGGAAAATACAGAAAGGATACTTCACTAGGTAAAGCAGAGGGTCAGAAGCTGTAGAAATACTGTCATCTCTGTTCTGAAGAAAAGACTTGATGCTGGGTGTTACTCACATCAGAGTATGTGCTAAACACTCCTGGTTGTTGGGAAATACCTTGTGAGCAGCTGGGATTTCTGAACTACAACTTAGATCTGTTCATTTATGTTTCTTACATCTATTTCAGGGTGAATGTATATCCTTTTGCAGTGCATCACATGCAGTTTGTTACCTGTGTGGGGAACAGCACATCATTCTTCACACAGAAGCAGGCTCACAGGTAAAGTGAGGTGCTAATCATAGTAAGGTCTTCACATTCGATCCATATTACTGCAAACAAGCCTATTAATCCCAAGCTTTTATGGCATAATGCACCATTCTGATTATTTTATCTCACCTTCTGCACAAGTCATCTGCTTTCTCAGACCCTTCATCTAACTTTTCTGCTTGAATTATAACAAAAATAGTATAAAATGGTTATTGAGAAATGAACGTGCTTTCAAAATACAGCATATACAGAATACAACATAGTGCTGAACAGAGATGCCTGAGTTGCAGTGAACTTATGAAGTTGTTAACCCTTAGTTCTGCTAGATTGTACTGCTGGTATGCTGGAGCTTTGAAGAAGAGAAGCAGATGTGTGCACTCTGCTGTAGGCAGACATCTTATCTGGGACTATTTGCATCACATGGTACCATGGAGAATTTGTACGTTTGAGCAACTGTATTGCCTGTATTGCCTTCTCTGCAATGCTGCGTCTCATTTTTCTGGGTTTTAGTGAGTGAGGCTATTCATTGATTTCTGGCAACAAGGAGACCAAGATCTCTAGGATTTAAAAGAGTCTGACATCTCAAAGCTCAAAAAAACTCAGTTATGAAAAACTCAATTACTTCTGGAAAATTTTATGAAGTTTTTCACACTTATTATCTGCCTCTGGCTGTCAGATATCAAAATTGCTATGATTTTGAGCAGAAGAAAGAAGAAAATCAGAAGGCATAAAACTTTGCCTAAAATTTGTTTTTCTCACTTCATGTGTTTGCCAGTAACTTTGGAAATGTGTAAAGGCAGTTAAATTCGACCAAAATCCTTGAAAAGTCAGACACGTACTTTGGATTGAGAAGCCTAAATGCAATTTGTAAGTACAAAGTGCAAAGCTCTCTTAGTAAATAGTCACTTTCACTCTCACGGAGTAGCAGCAGCACTTCCTGCTTGCAGCACTTGGGCAACAGCATCAGTGCCCAGGCATTACTCCAGAGAGAGACACTGTTCTTCCCCAAACCATGCAAGAAAGTGGTTGCCATTCAAATTACTAGCAAAGCTGAAAGTAACTGAGAGTCATCTGTCATGTAGCTGCAGAGACAAACAGGAAGAGTGGTGAACCTGGGCATGTTTTTTATGTTAGCCTTGCACCCACCCTCTCTTCCTTTTGGCAGAACAGGAAACCATCTTCTGTTTTTCTTCTTTTTTCTTAAGGAATTAGAAAAGAAGATAAAAGTCTTGACCTGTGCTGTAGCTGAGCCTAAAAGCCCCTAATCCTAGATCAGAGTTGTGAAGAGCTGCTGTGCATATATCCAGGACTCTAGATAATATTCTGAAGTCCTTACCATACAACTTGAAAGTTTTACAGATGTAAATCCAGGTGCAACGTGACAAGGTCATTCACCAAATTGCCATTGGGAATCTATAGCACAGTTAGGAATGAAGCTTCACCTATCCTGAGCCCAAGCATGTGCTATTTTTTTAAACTGAACTCTCATCTTTAGATTTTTAAAATAGTGCTGTGCTCAAACTTAGTTTTGTATATTATTAATTAGGACAAAGTGATGGTCATAGTTCTTAAAAATTAGGCTGAAATAAAAAGGAAAATTTAAGAATCATAATTATGTATCCATCTTTTCTCAGTGGTTCAGATATGGAATAACTGTGGGAGCTTTCAGCACATGTAAAAAGCCATGTCATAAATGTTGTGATTCATCTAGAAGTGCTAAATTTATGAATATGAACTTATTAATAACTGTGTGTGTAATCTGGCAGTCTAGAATAATCAGTGAAAATTGCCCAAAGAGAGTTATAGATGTGCTATTTGGGTAAGACTCTTCATCTTTGCACTTCACCAAAAATCCTGGATCATAATTCAGTTCTACTCATTCTCCTCCAGGCTTTCATTAAAACCTGCCTTTGGGGAAAATCATGAATGGCATAGTCTCTTGAAGTCTGTTCCAGCCTTGGAATGTAGCATCATTCTTAATGTCCATAGTTTGTATATGCACTCCTGAATTTACTTTAGAATTAACTTGTTACTCTTTTTCATCCCCAGATATATTGCAATGTATGCCTAAAAGCTGGAATCTTCTACTATTTCTTTGCTGAGGGTAACATAGAAATAAGGGTTTTTTTTAAAAAAAAAGTGACAGTCAAAAAATTAGGAAGCTGTTGTGGAAGAGAATTCTGAAAATCTCTCTCTAATGCAGCTCTCTTTCACCAAAAGTCCTCATAAATTTTTTTATACAAGTTATATCTCATTGTACAGCTCAGTGCTTCATTGAGTGGTCTACACTGTCAGAACACACGTGGTGTAACCTTATCTTTTTATCCCACTAGTGAACAAGGTTCCAAGTGGAATGCATTGATGCTCTTTTGTATTTTCAGTGTATGTTGCTTGTGTGATTTTTTAGGTATACTGGGTAACAGTTGCCTGGTGGCTCAAGTGGCTTTTGTGGCACTTTGAAATGTACCAATTTTTTTGTGCATACTTTCTTTTTCTTCTTTTTTTTTTTTTCCCTACCTTCTCTACCTGTCTGCCAACTGTAAACTCTCTTGTATTTGCATTCTTTTTTTTTCAAATCCGTGAAGTGTAAATTTCATTGGGATCAGTGAGTTAAAGGTATCTGCTTAACAAGAATTCCTTAACAGGGATAGAATGGAGAATCTAATAAAAAATATGTTTACATATTTTGCAGAACTGAGACCTCTGGGATTTCTTTTACACGACTTTAAACTCTGAATTGATTGCATCTGTTTTCTTGGTTATTTTTGCTTTTTTTCTTAGTGGTTTGATTGTTAATGATTTCCTTATAATATTCATTTATTTGTGAAAGATGAATACAGCATTTAGCTTTATATGTCACACAACTACCCATATATTAGGTAGGTAAGCAACTGAGTGTTAAATGAGTATGTTTTGTGCAGCTAGCCAGGCTTTCAAAAATAGCTCAGCAACCACACAAGAAAACCAGAATTCTGAAAGAGCTCACATTCTGGGTGCACGTTGATCGCTAAGCTCCTGCGAAAATCTGGCCACAAACACCACAATCTGATCTCCTGTGTCTAACTGCTGCTCCAACCCACATGTGTACCAAGGAAGAGGAGGACAGTCCAAATACTGGAAAAACATTGTGTTTTCAGAGGAAATTTTCCAGCAGAACTACAGCGACTTCCAGGAAGGCTCAGACTGATAAATTCTCTGAGCACTTTTGAGAGGTGCTATGTTATTAAAAAGTGAAAATAAGTAATGAATTGTTTCTTATTGTTAACAACTACTTTGAAATATTGTCTTTCTTATTTAGAAGTGCATTTCGAACTCAACAATTTTGAAAACTATAGAGAAACTGCTTTTATTGGATCATATGGGTTTCTAACATAATCATCTGCTATTCTTTTTTTCTTAAAAATCTTTATATGTATATATATATTTTTTTATTTTATTTTGTATAATTCTACTTCACCCCTAGCCACGAACTTTTTCCTCTGTTGACTTCTTCCCCAATCAGCTACTGAAAGAAGGTTATGCTCTATGTGGTATTTTAGATTCTGCAGGTGTTTTAAGGGTCAATGGAAAAAAGCCTCCCACGCTGGTGATGGGGATTTCCTCTGTAGCATTCAGGGGCTGGGCTCTGGTCTGACAGGCACAAATAACTTTTCTCCCTGGTATTGTTAGAGCTCCCTTACACCTTTAGTGAGCTGGCAGAACTTAATGCAGTAATAGTGTAGCACATTTAGTGCATTCCAGCGTGTGCAGCAACGGTTCATATCAATCCAGGTTTATTTCCTATCACTGACTTGTGCTTTTCTCTTTAGTGTGTCTTTCGTGTTATAACACAAAAACTTCCTGATTTCACCGCAGTGCCTGTTGGAATCTGCCTCTTGACATTTGACAAAAGCAGTTAGGACAGTGATTATGTCTTCTTGTTCCACAGTAAAAGCCTCTGCCTCTTCAATTAAGTAAGAAATGTGGCAGTCATCAGCTTTTCAAAACTTTCTGCTCATTCCTCAGAGCTCCTAATCCACAGTAGAGGGCAGTGCTTACACAATGCATGTGCATGCTCACCAAGTGTTAGTTACATAGCAGCACTCTTGAAACATCAACTAATGCATTGCCAGAGCACTGGTAAAACAGGTTACAATATCGGTTTTTGACAGGTACAGAGGGACAAGGCTGAAGTGACCTGTCCAATGCCAGGGCGTTGTGTGTGTGAGGAAGACAACAGGATCTGATCAAAAGCACTTGATTGAAATGAGAAACATGCAGTTGTTAGGAAGACAAAGTCCTAAGTGTTTCAAGTCCTGCAGCTCTTGCACAAAGATATTCTCTGAAACTACCCTTTATTCATGGTTTCTCAAGCGCATTGAGCAAAATGCTACTATCACATCAGTGTATCTGTAGTGGCTTTGCATATTTCTTCAGTGTAGTCATTTTCCAACTGACTGTGTGCATGCACCCCTTGGAAATTTAAGTTATCAGAAACCTCAGAGGCCACAATTGGCTGGGAACAGGACCCTCTGCTGTCTTGCACCTTGCACAGTCATTTCTAAGGGCTGCTGTAAGGCTTTCTCACAAATTATTCTTTCTTTAGAAAATGACAGCTTGTCTACCATATATGCCTGTTTAGTGGTTCTCCAGTTTGACTCATTCAGGGGGTTGTGGAGGGAAGTGCGTGTCAAAATATCCAACTTTGGCATTTTCCAAATGAGATTTTATTGCTCGCTTGAAATGCTTTATTGCGTCTTAAAAATATTACCCCGTATTGTGAAGAGGGGCTGAAAAATTTGAAAGCAGAATAAAATTGCTTGAAATTGTAGAAGCAAAATTTTTCAGTTCATCATGATTCAAAATATTTGGAGGAGTTGCCATTTTGTTGGTTTTATCTTTTCAGGAACCCCAAACCCATTTTTAAGTACCCATTCCCTATCCTGCTTTGATGGCTGAGGGAGATGGATGTGAAATGAAACCAAGAATGCTGTCAGTCCTAGTCTCCACTCTGCATTAAAGCACTTTGTTTTGTCTTCACAAGTAACCTTAGGAATATTCTTTCACAATATGAGGGAATGTATGAATTTCCTGACACAGGATTGTGCCAGAGACATTTTTACCACAGGTTGTTCTGCTTGGAAAATAGGATCACAGAGGCAAAAAGGATGTAGAAGGGCAGAAATGTGTTACATGTCAATCTTCCTTGAAGATAATTTGAGGTGTAAACCAGTTGTGAGCCTTATATGCAGTGAATGAGATCTGAGAGGCCTATTTTATAATAGCAGTAACCAGAAGAGTTATAATGGTGATTCACATGGTGATTTAGTTCACTTGCATTTATAGAGGAGTGTTTATAAGAAAGAGTAAGATGTTAAGAACTCTTTGCTTGTAAGTATTATGGTAAGAATCTACCAGGTATCTCACTAGATGGAATTTTTGCACAAAGAACTTGGATACCTCCATTGCTCAAGCTGGAGTGCTAGATCCAAGGTTTACAAGAATTACAGATTATTGGGGTAAATCTAGATTTCATCCCCATATAAACAGGTGACGTGAAATTTATGTGGCAAACCTGGGTATTCATTACCCTGGAGGCACTCTAGACCATCACTTTCAGCTGCTGCTTCTGAACAATGTGTATCCCCTGTGACTCCTGTGTTTTACAGAATTATCTCAGATACCTTAAGGCATCTCAAATTGCTCTAAATATCAGTATGGAGGGCCTACTAAATTAAGTCCATATTGATCTTCCTGATCATTGCCAGGAAATAAAAATCTACAAAGACATCCCAAGATGGTGACGCTCCACCTCAAATCCACTGTCCAGTTCTGGGCCCCTCACTACGAGAGGACATTGGGATGCTGGAGCGTGTACAGAGAAGGGCAACAAAACTGGTGATGGGTCTGGAGCACCAAGTCTGATGAGGAAGCTGGAGTTGTTTAACCTGGAGAAAAGGAGGCTCAAGGGGAACGTTATTACTCTCTACAGCTACCCAAAAGCTAGATGGGGGTCAGTGTCTTCTCCCAGGTAACAAGCAAAAGGACAAGAAAAAATTACTGCCAGGGAAGTAATGGAGTCACCATCACTGAAGATATTTGAAAGACATGTAGATGTGGCACTTGGGGACATGGTTTAGTGGTGGACTTGGCAGTCCTGGGTTAACAGTGAACTTGATGATCTTAGAGGTCCTTTCCAACCTTAGTGATTCTGGGATTCTATATTTTATGGGGACATAAAAAACAGGCACACCAATGCAGAGGCACTCAGAATCACTACAATTCACTTGAGAAATCTTAGTGCCTGTGTTTGGACTAAAAGCTGCTAGAATGATAACAAGGAATTGTATGAACAAGAAAGATGTCATGGTTACAGAAAGAAAGTTTGATGACGGCAGCATAACCACAGAGAAGTGTTGTGTGTTGCCCAGTGGAAGGCTGGCACTTAGTTGTTATCTTCAGCAGCAGCAACAACATGGGTTAGCAGCTCATCAGAGAAAGCACACGGGAGCTAGACAGCATGATCCAAAACAACAAAGACTCAAAAACACAAAAGGGTACTTTTTTAACCTCAGTTTCTTCTGCTTTATCATCTACATAACCGCAGCACAGTTTTGCATCTTCTTTGCAAGTTCCCAGGAGAGCAGCTGCTTTACTGTAGTGTAATCTTGTTTACTTTCCTGGTACCTTTAGTTTCTCTCCATTCAGCTCTCTTCTTTTACAGATCCACATTCATCCTATATTATTATGATTGTACCAACTTCTGTCAATTGTTTCTAATAGACAGTCTAGAACAAGTCTTCATCTTGGTTCATTTCTTGGATCGATTTTTGGGTAATGTTTGCCTATATATGATGCTTTTGTCTTTTCTTCTACTTTTGCAAGTTTCAAAGATGAGAAGATTCATACAATTGTGAGGCATGAGTATAACATGCCAGACAGTTGTATAGTTATTATGTGATTTAACTTCAAAAAGGCTTATAAAATGCTGCAAGCTAATATAGGACTTCATGTTACTTCTCTTTGTGACGCCCATACATTTCCAAGGAAATCACTGTAATTTCATGACATGACAGATATATCTTGGTACGTAGCCCATCACCAGCACAATAAAACTGAGTTTACAGTTTGACTGATTCTTTCAGAGTGGTATTATGTGTATTTTTAGTTCTGGATGAATTAATGTGCTTACAGTCACAGTCACCCGATATCCATTGTGTCCCTTGGTGGGATCCTGATATATAGAATTTTCTACACAATCACCTAATGTGCACATAACCTAACAGTTGGCTACTTCGACATGCAAAAGCAAATTTGAATGCAACTCATTTTAGCCAATTCTGAAAACATGTTCTACTACTGTAAAAGATTTTCAAGCCACTTGTTGCCCCTGCCCAGCTGCTGTCAAGACAGAGAGTAAATTTGTTTCTTGCCCAGCCAACTACTTAGTGTGTCCTATAGGAAACAGCTTCCCAAGTGCTACAAAACCTCTGTACTGATTCTACAAAGCCATCTTCTCTGGAGAGTGGTAGACTGGAGCATGGCCCAGGGATAGCAGTGTATGAAGGTACGGGTTAGTGCAAGGTTACTCCAAACCAAGACAGATAATTAGGTGGTCCTTCTGCTACCTGTGGGTACAAGGACTACAACATACACCACCAATGCTCCCATGCCAAATAGAGTTGGCACAGAGTCCTGTGTTATAACTCTGGTAGGTAGGTACAGCATTTTGTCATTACCTCTGCTGCTCTGGTGAGGAGTTTCAGAGCCAAGTATCCCACTACAAAAGTCAGAGATACACAAAGCCTGATAAACTCTATCTCTCACATGTGTCCATTTTTGCATCCTGTTCTGAATCTAGTTGTGGAGAAGGAGCTCATCAGCTGCATGGCACTACTAACTCTATGCACTCTATAATTAAAGAAACTGTTTATTTTTACATAGAGTGCAGTGGTAATGAAGAATACTTCAGAAATTATTTGAAAGAAGGCACTGCTATTAGTTATATGGTGTGAAGACCCACAAATGACTAACAAAGTATATAATTCCAAATATTTAGTTGATTCAGCAGAGGAAACAGCTTGTTGTGAGCCTTTGCCTCCATGTGTATGGGCAGTCTGGATGTATATGCATAATTCATGTGTGTCCTATGTATAATTGCATAATTCAACAGTGTCCTAATTTGAGATGTCAATACAGAACAATATTAATGATATTCTCTGATAAGCTTTGAGTTGCAAAAAAGGTGCTATATTGGGGGGTTATATTGTTTTATTTCTAATACTCATGGATTGATTTTCTGAATTTATATTAGTACCTATTTTTTCTTGCATTTTGTCCATCTCTGCTTCATCTTGCAACAACTGTCATCAAAATTTTCTTTTTGCTGCTTCAGATAAGTAGAAGTTTTAAACTCTATGTCTTTAAAGAACTCTGCTTTTCATTGTCACATTAAAACAGCATCTGAATTAACAAAAGGTTTTCGTTTTCCAAGATGTGGTGCATACTGTCTCAGTTCAGTGTTGCCCTCTTAGAATTTAAGTTGGTGCCTAAGCAGTGTTGTGAATATTACATCTTAATAAATTCTAAGGGAAATTTAGAGAACCTTAGAATAATTTTGGAAATAATTTATGTTTTAGCCCATCAGAAATCACACATGTTGGCTTAAAGTCTGCTGTGTAAATTTCATTTTTGAAGCTAGAAACTAAATATGAGCTAAACCTGTATCACATTTTTAAAGAATATTTCCTTGCTTTTTATGTTCTATGCAAACTCTGTAACTTCATTTATTCTTTGTGATTAAGTTTTGCTTCTAATCATGAATATCATACAGACACTAAACCTAATCAGACTGAAGAAAAAAAAATCTAAAGAGCTCACCTTTACAATGTCTAACCAGAGGTTTTGGCCCAGATCATGGGCTAGATCATCTTAAAGTTGTTTCCCTGACCTTAAAGAAGCTATGACAGTTTATACATTCTAACCACTTTTCATTTTATTAGTAAGAGATTTTATCCCATCCATCTTTGATAAACCCTATCCATTCTAGAATTTATCTATAAGTTGTATTTCAAGCCTATATTCATTTAATTTACCCTTTCTCCACCCCCATCCCCCTTTTAACTGTTTCCTTTAGCACTCCAAATATTCCTGGATACACTGGCAAGGTTCATTGGTCAGCAACTCACCCAGCAAATTCTAATCTTCCATCAACAGTCCCATCAGTAATTGCAGGAATGCATGGGTAGGTATGAGGTATATTTCTCAGCTTGTTCAGAAAAATTACAGGGAAATCGTAATTGCATTTATTTAGTTAAAGAACAATTAAATGTTACACATGACATTCTATTAGCTTAAAAAACACAACACAGTTGGAGTTGGATCCCACCACATTATTGTCATGCTAATCTGAAGTCCTTTTGAGGTTTTAGAATTTTTCTGGAACACTGTACAATATCTCTTGGGAAGGTGATTTTATTTTTTTTAATAACAAATGTCTGTTTTGTTCAAAGAGGCCCATGAATGTCAAAGTTATCAATTTCCAAAAGAAAACTGTATGGAGTTTCTCAATTGATCTTGGCAGACTTATGAAACAGGTATTTGCTATGAAAAAAATGATTGTTTAAAATGAGTGCATTCACTTAAAAGGCAGTGAGAAGCAAAGTCATGCCATGCCACCACATTGATGTAGCTGGGACCCCGCAAGAGTGAAACTGTCATAGCTCCCCATCACTATTGTGGCTGCCTTGTGAAGTGAATTAGTAATCTTTATTCTCTCTTGCTCTTCCATACAAGGCTGGTTAAAACTGTGGGCCATTATAAGTATTTAGATGTCTAACTTGTTGATTTCAAAAGATTTGGACACTTCAAAATCACTGAAAAATCCTTTTCCTTTTGTTAGCATGAAGAGCTTCTGATGCTTGCAGAACTAACTTAGCCTTTCTCCCTAATAGCTTGGTAACTATTTGTTTCTGCTCTCACCTTTATGATTTTGTGCTTTAGATTCTGCTTTCTTGTTATCTATAGTGATCTAGGATATGGTGACACTTTTCCAAGTTTTCATGTTTTCCTGAGAAATTTATCTTCTAACTAAACTTTTAATTTGCCTTAGGATTCTGTTCACAACACATCACACTTTTTTCAGCACTGTCAATGAAAAGTATGCAGAAAAGGGTCAAGAAGATTTATGGAGCCACATGGCTTTTAAAGAGTTCACTTTGTCAAGAGTTTCACCGTTTTGACGAGTGCCCTGACTTACTTTTCTGCTGCCCTCCATCCAGTCACCTCTGCTCTTTTTCTCTTGTGGTTACAGTTGGAAAATAGGCAGTCACCTGTAGTTATGGGCTGCTGTTGAAAGAGAATGGAAAGATGCAACAAAATCCTGAGTCTCCATAATCTGATAAAGCTGAACTCAACTAGTCTCATGCAACTATAAATTGCCTGTAAAAGGCTAATGCATCTTAGCAAAGATCATTGAGATACTTCATTCAGGTACCAGAATTCAAGAGTAAAAATGACAGGCACCACTGTGATTTGAAGAAAATACCTCAGTTATTTCCTTTTACTTTACACAGATGTTACTGTGGGTATAGTTCACAGTGGAGGAATTTTCTTCATTTTTAGTATATAGCAAGAACAGGGTTCTCATTCTGCACTAATGGATAGTTTTCAGAACCAGGACAGAATCTCCTGAGCTTTTTGAAGGAGACTGTGTAGGAATAAACTAGCAAGCATAATCACATCCAGAGATTGCAGAGCAGGTTTTGCCACCTTTTGCCTGAGCTATACGGTACATTTCCCTGAGGAGATAGTACCCCTGATTACAAAACTGTGATAGGTCTACAGATCTACGTGTGGAGTAAATTAGTGCTCACTGAGCTAAGATGGAACATTCTAGACCTTCATGAAACTGCTATATAAAACTATGATGGATATTGAGAATCTCCCCTCCATATTAGTTACTGATGTCCGTAAAAGAGACATGCTTAGCATTTGATTCCTTTCCCTTATAAAATAAATTATAAGAATTCCTGCTGATTTCAGGAGTCACAGGTCAAGCTAGACTACAGCAGAGAGGTGAAGAGAGATTATTCCCGTAATTTGGGGTCAGCAAATTCGCCTCCTTGAGCTTTTGATGTGGGACATGATCTCATCTTTACAACTTTTTAAATGATGGTCCCTTTCTTTGTCTCTTTGCTCATTCTCAAGCAATGATTGTAGTAATTTCTCAGAAAGTGGCAAGCGATTGCATGTGGTGGGTGTTTTTTAACTGCCGTCTACAACATGTGGTCAGTGTCCTGAAGACAACTATAGGCATCAAATGGAGTCTCTTGTGTACTAATAAATATTCCTGTCTAAAGTATCAGCAATATCAGATTGACCGGGCAGCATGCAACCATTTCTGCACTGTATTTCTATTGCATGGTGCTCCCACAGGATGTGAGGCAAAATCTTGTACACCAGTGTCAAGCATTCTGAAGTCAACAGGATTGCATAGAACATGAACACTAGAAATATGGCTTTCTCATCTTTGAATTTGAACAGTGTTTTCATATGTCAATCTTTAGTGGTGTGTTCTTAATCTATTTTTATTTCCAGGTAAGCCCAAGTTGAATACAGAAAATTATATTTTAAAGTCCCCTAGTGCAATTAAATTCTGGCAGATTTGTTTAGCTTTTGCATGGGAAGGAACGATTTATGTGTTGTTTTGTCTTTTGTCTATTGCTACCTGGAAAATACAAATCAAATTACATCTCAGGTTGCACGGAAACCTATTGGTTTCACCGTAGTTAATCTAGAATTGTGCTAGATTTTGTTTGATTATTGAGAGAATTACTTTCTTTATTATTGAGAGAATGGAGAAGCAATTTTCAGCAAGTTGCTTTGAAGATTTCAAAAGTTATCTCTAGGTCAAAAAAAAGTTTTTTATGTGGAGAATGAGTGAACATAAATGTGGTCAGTTCTGTGTCAGCCAAGAGAACTAGGCATGTAAAGCAGAGGTGACAGTGTCAACAAAGTATTTTTAGAAGGCTTCAAAGCCAAATCTCCTTCATGACCTTCAGGCACCACAGGGCCTTATGTGCTTGAAAGAATTTGGCATGGTCATGGCAGACCTGCACATATACTGTGCAGGTTAGTTGTGAAACTGCTGTGTATGTGAGTGTGTGTGTCTGTGGGTGTGTGCATCTGTGAATATGTGTATGTGTGTTCAAGAAAGGCAGGGGAAGCTCTTCAGGAAGATTTCCCACCATTGATCTTAAGGGGGCTGATTCTAATACTATGGAATATTGCAAATTACTAATGTTGTCTGTGGCCAATTGGCATAAGTGCTTGTGAAGAAAGCAGTGAGAGGGAAAAAGAGAGAATGTTTAGGAATATGAGAGTATGTTTTAAAAGTCCTTTTTTTCCCTGTTTTTGAGTAACTGCAGATACACCACATTACATGGAAGTTGACTCAGTAGAAGTACCTAGGACTTTTTTCTCAACTCCAGTTGGTCCTCAGATTTCTTTCAAAGCAGAATAAAAAGCTATTACAATTTAGAGAATGCCAGTCCTTTTTACCTGGATAACTGAGAGCCTCAGTGTCTGACAGTGAGGAGGAAGGAAATGTATGAAGATGTGCAGACACTTTAAATATAGAAGAAAAATAATACAGAAGTGGATGTTTGTGGTCGTCCTTATTGCATTATTCTCATATTTATGACTTACTAACATTGACAGTTAAAACCATATTAAGAACAAGAAGAGATATAATTCAGTCTTGAAACTTGTTGTCTGCACTAAATTGCCTTGTTAATTAAGGTTGAAAATGATGCTGTGGCTGTTCCATACATTGACATAAACATTTTGCATACACACACAAAAATGTGGACATGCATATGTGAATGCATTATTAGCTATGAAATCATTACAGGGCAACAGCCCTTCTCAAGCTATTCTGAGTGTGCCTTGCAAAGATGGTTAAATGTCACAGAATTAGATTTTTACCTTTACCTGTACTGGCTTTGTGTATGTAGTGAATAAAAGGAGCCTCCTGGTTTTCAGGCTAATTAAGAATGTGTGCCTTACGCCCATGCTTAAATTCTTTTATACTTAATCTGAATAGGGAAAATCTAAACATGGAAGTTGGTGGACGTCTACTTAAGCATTTGTCTTGGTTTATTTTCTGATGCTGGTGTAGACCACATGAGGTAGGAGCATGCCAGAGAAAGAGAAGATCAAATGCAAATTTGTCAGTCAGGAAGTTCTCCTGTACTCCAGGGGCCAAAATAGTGCAAATAGTTATTCTAATTCAGGCAGTCTTGCAGATTCCTAAGAATTTTCCGTCCAGAATCTGTGGTATTACCTGAATAATCTGTATTTCTTCTCTGTTACCTCTAATGCTTGTTTTTCTCTAGTACAGGCTTCTCCAGGTTAAGGTACACACATGTGAAAAAATGCTTGTAAGAAGTAGCTTTTTTTGCAGCTACTTAAGGGCTTTCAGTGAAGGATTACACAGTGCACCAATGGTGAAACACCCTTTCAAGAGTAGATCGAAGACTTATTGGAAATACTGAAAGGTAAGGACAATAAACCACAGAGCCAAAAGACACAAAATCTGCAGAAAGAACTAACATCCCTTAACAAAGGGATTAGATCTTCAGCAGCAATAATGGGAACTAAGCATCCAAATCCCTGACGTTGCTGTGCAAATCTTAGTCACAGAAGATATACAAGCCCCTAGGGAATGTGAGATGACAGCTAAGCAAGACACTGGGGTATACCATTTCCCCTAATAAGACTGTAGAAAGTTGTTTATCCTGAAGTGGGGCAGAAAGATACCAGTTCTTGAAATGACTGACTTACGCACGAACTTCTACACTTTTAGCTTTCTGTATTTCCTTCGTGCACAAATCACCAATCCCAGATTTTTTAAAGAGATGCTTTCATCTAATCACTTTATCTGTATGCATTACATTGATACCTTGCATGTACCTGTGCAAAATTAAAGCATATGTTGATGTGGAGGAAGGTTGCAACTGTTTTTGCCTTTTGTTCTTCTCCATTTGGAGCTACACATATATACAAGCCAGTGAATATTTTCAATGAAAATATAGCCACTTCTGCAAATTTGGCTTATGTCCTATCAAATTATTATATACCATGTAAAAATATTTGCAGATTTGTTATTGGTTACAAAGGCTGTGTTGTTCTATGCTTGAGAAGGATTCCAATTAAATCTTTCAGAGCCCCAGTTGTGCAGTACAAA